AGTGGTCCGGCAATGACCTCAGCCAGCTCACCAAAGATGGCATAGCACAGATAGGACTGAGCAGTTTCAGTTACGTTTGAAGCACATTAGGATTCCTCATGTTTAAAGTGCATTTTGTGTGAAACTTTGCTGATTGACATATTTGCCTAGATTATTTTCATATCTTAACCACTTTTGTTTGTATTTTATTTTAATCCAGGCTGATGTGGCTATTTTGGTTGTGGATGCTAGCAGAGGAGAGTTTGAAGCAGGGTTCGAGACAGGTGGACAAACTCGAGAACATGGATTATTAGTGCGCTCTCTTGGAGTGACACAGCTGGCTGTTGCAGTCAATAAAATGGACCAGGTACATGCTTGACTTTTTCATTTAATTGAAGGGCTTCCATTGAGGATTGTAGACCCTAGATTTAATGATCAATATTGTGAAACAAGAAACAATACTTCATTATTATCTTTGATTCTCAGCTCTGTCTCTTCTGTTTAGACTTTACCATACTTTGCAATACTTTTTTTTTTATGAGTGTATTTTCAAAGTATAGCAAAGGCTAGTTTTGGTGTTACAGTGAGTAGGGGTCCCTCTTCTACTTGTGAAAATCTCACATGAGCAGTTAATCCAGTGACATCTGCAAGGGCATTTTGGTCATTATTCAGGTCAAGACCTCAAGAGCGTTATTGAAACCTGTAAAGTGTGTTAAATATTACTAGTTGTATTCTAGGTTATTACTGTGTTGTGCGTAGTCTTGCTGAATCTGAATTTTGTGTAAACAATTTTATTATCATAATCTGCCTTCTATTTTAGGTCAATTGGCAACAGGAAAGATTTCAAGAAATTACAAGTAAGCTCGGCCAATTTCTTAAGCAAGCTGGCTTTAAGGTAATGTAAATTTCTGAGGTTTTTGTTGCTTTGTTTGGGTGTTTGGGTAGCATGAGCTTTTCTTACAGTCAAGTTATTTTGTGTCACTTTCCTGCTACTACTATGTGCACATAGTATAGCAGATTCCTTTTCTTACTGATAAGGGTGTACAGTGACTCCTGGATAAGGCTAGTCAGTTCTTTAATACTCCTTCTGTCATCATCATTGTTTAGGTCTGTTGAATCTTTGGGGCAGTGACCTCATTTGTATTTTCTTGGGATTGTTGTCTACAAAGCAGAACAGACCAAGAATGATCTATCTCAATGTTTAGGATTACATGAATGACAGTAGAGAGTTTTATACCAGAACAGGTGTCAGTGTGGATTGTGAACTCATAAGAACACTCCATTTGCCATTCAAGTTCCCACTGCTATTCATCTGGAATGGCTGTGGCCTTCCTGAAATTCCTGTGATTAAACCAGGAATTCAAACTGAAGTTTTGCCTGTCAGGTATGGAATTGGAGTTTGTTACGTGAACTCAGTTTCTAGTTGTCATGCTGTCATCATGTTTAAATGTCTCCAACTCTTCGTTGGAGCACTGATCAGGCAAGATGTAAACAGGAAGGAAATTGATTCACTGAGTAATCTGCTTTTTCCAGGGTAAATGTGAATGTGCCAACTGTTTTTTTTATAGCTTAGATGCATAATATTGAAAAAGTGCACCTCTTGCTTCTACTGGAAGATCCTGTCATTAATGTATGCTTAACTTCTGTTTGTTTTCTTAATTAGGAGTCAGATGTGGCTTATATCCCAACGAGTGGCCTTGGTGGTGAAAATCTGGTCACAAGGTGTCAGTCGAGTGACCTCACACAATGGTATAAAGGAAAGTGTTTGTTAGAGCAAATTGGTGAGTGCACTTTTCCTAATTTAAAAACCAATGTGTCTTAGTCCTGCGTATGTCAAAACTTATTTTGGAGGGAAATGTGGGACAGAGTCTTTGGAATGCCATATACTTGATTTGCCCCTAAGTGAGAAGTTGTTGAGATAGTTATTGAATACAGAAATTCTAAAAGGTTTTATCAATTTATTTGCAGATTCTTTCAAGCCACCACAGAGATCAGTGGATAAACCATTTAGGTTGTCTGTTGCTGATGTTTTTAAAGGTTGGTTGTTTTTATAATATTTTCACCGTTTCACTGATGTTTCACAAGTGTTGAAAAAAATGACATAAAAATAAGACTTAAAGTAGGAGCTTTATTTGTATCAGTAGTCTTGAACAGGAATAGTAAGTTTTCAAGATTTGTTCTTTGTCAAATTTTAGATAGTACTGCTGAAGGAGAAACACACTGAAAAAGAAACTGAAGAAGAAAATCTGCATGACCAGCCTGTTAGCTGTGTAATGAGTTGATGCTTTTGTGGGACAGAATTTGGGAGTTTCTCTTTCCCAAACTGGTTCCCTTTGCTTAAATGAGTATTTCTCAAACTTTCTATGAGTGTGACTTTGGCGTCTTTTCCCATCCACTTCTAGATTTTAAAAAATTTTGACTTGTTCCTTTTATTTGCATTGTTGTAGCTGCAAATAATAAAAATTTGGAGGAATAAGGTGGAAGAAAAGGGGAGGTGGTGAGAGTGTTATAACCAGCCAAGGATTTAATGAAAGGCAGCTGGCTATTCCCTAGCACTTAATATAGAGATGGACAGCAAGTATCTATAGCCAGTTCTTATTCCCTTTGTCTAGAGAAAATAGACTGCCTTGAGCCCTTAAGGTTTCCATAGTAAACATGATTTTTTTTTCCAGTTAAATGCATTTACATTTACAGGTAATTTAGAAGAAATAAGGTTTGTAACTCCCCCCCCCAGGCAGCTGGCTATTCCCTAGCACTTAATATAGAGATGGACAGCAAGTATCTATAGCCAGTTCTTATTCCCTTTGTCTAGAGAAAATAGACTGCCTTGAGCCCTTAAGGTTTCCATAGTAAACATGATTTTTTTTTCCAGTTAAATGCATTTACATTTACAGGTAATTTAGAAGAAATAAGGTTTGTAACTCCCCCCCCCCCCCCCCAAAAAAAAAGGAACCAAAAGTAAAGAGACTAGGGAATGCCGTGATTATGAGGCCAAATATTGATAAATAGCCAACCAGATGTATTGGTGAAGCATGTAGTAGTGAGAGAACTAACCAAATTATGGCCCTCATATAGAAACCAGAGGCGTAAAAGAGCAAGTTGTGCTAGGAGTTTAGAGGGAAAAGTATGGGCGTGAAGCCACTTGAAAAATTACATAGGTCCCCTGAGAAATGGTGCAAAGTAAATGACAGCATGATTTGATATGTTGTAAACATTTGTAATCAATAGAATTATTAAAATTCATATTTTAAAATAAATGTTACTTTTTATATATATATATAAACAAACAGACCAGATCAAAATACTGCTTTTAATTGAGAAAATCAGTTTTGTGCAATTTTCTTGTGGGTCTTTGAAAAAAACAGTAGATGTTGTATGTGCCCTGAGTTAGCTGACTTAAGATACTGTAGCCATAATGTTAAATACTGAAACCCTGCATGAGAATTTACCTTAGTGTGTAACCACTAGTTTTGTCATCTAGGCCATCACTAGACTTTTTTTTTTCTTTTTTAAATTTTGTGAGCTGTGGGAAAGTATGTTAGGATTACTGATTGAGATCTTTCAGAATATTATCACAACTTTTTCATAGCAATAATCATTTTTGTGTTGAGCTAAGTTTCAGAAAATGAGCAATTTTGGCTAAATCTATGGAAAAGTCTGGGTTTTTGCTAAAGTATGCAAAAAAAAATAATGGCTTTGGAAGGGACTCAATTTACATATACAGGGTTTATCACTAAATGTGGCCTTTTAGGTGTTTTTTAGGCTATTTTTTTCTTATCTTGTGATCTCAAAACTTAATTAACGTGGATGCCACCAGAGGAAGTAGCTGCAGGTACGAGTACATGAGGCAACAGTTGTTCTCGGCTCTATTCCAGTGCCTGTGCGTGCTCAGAAGGAGCTGTCCATTGAAGTGTGTAAAAAGTGAGAGTGCTGAGTCTACTCTTACATAGTTTGGAAAACCCCTTTCTTTATTAAGGTTACCCACACATGTGATTCATCCACTTCACCCTTGTTTTAGCTGATATCCTCCATAGCCCTCCTAATATTCTCTCCAGGCAAACTGTATTGTGATCTAAGAGGTCCCTGTAAATTCCTTCACCGCTGCATCAGTCCCTGCTTACCTTGTTATAATGCTGTCTAGGGTATGACTTGACCTGACTTAAGAAAAGCCTTGTCCAGCAGCCAAATCCTGAGGACAAAGGACATGTCCTGGCAAAACTGGAGTACCATGATAAACAGAAATCAGGTCGTTTCTTTAATCTCCTGATTCTGTTCCCCATTATCCATTTTGTGTTTGCATTGATTTCATGGGGACCTGTCAGAACTTGAAACTTTGCTGGAAAGAATCACAGGAGAGAGAGCAAAGCTTCAAACACCACGCTGGTTTACCAAGCCAGAGATGGTGGTGATGTGAAAAAGAGAGAAATGGTTCTTGGTTGTGCTTGGGAGTGGTTGGGAACCTGGAACCATTTCATGTTTCTGGTTGCCTGCAAGTGCTTGAAGAGCCAGCTTCAGGTTGTTCTGTGTGCTGTACTGAGGTGGTATTTGGATCACAACTGGGGGATTCTTTTCCTAGCATGTATCTGCTTCAGTTTTTTGTTCTTTTGACATCCAATGTCATCTGTTAATCGACTGCATTCATCTCATTTCCTGGAATGAGCAGAGGAAAATTAGCTTGCAGGCATACTGGTAATATTTTTCCAGCTGGATAGATGAAAGTATTCATCAATAATGGTGATGAATGCAAAAGAGCAAGTTGGTACTGTGTGACCTCAAGACTTGAAGCCAACTTGCTCTTAAGCTTCAAATTAAGCTTTTAATCTGATGTGACACACAAAATACTAAGATGCTTGCTTACCACTGAATTGTAATGTTCAGCAAAATATATATTTGTAGTTTGTATGAGTACTGAAAATGTCTGCAGAATCACTTCAGAGGATTCTTTTTTTAGCACACCTGCAAACACATGCTAAGGAGATGAGGAATTTCTTAAGGTCTATGTGCATAAATGTGCACATCTATTGAAAATAACTGATATATTCAAATAATGAACAGAGTATTTAGGACATTAAAGAAGAACTTTGCAGATCTTTTATTCAGAAATACTTAAGTCATCCACAGTTATAATAGCTCCTCATGTTAAATAGGACTGAATCGATCTTTGACTTTCCAGTAGTAAAAGTTAAGTGCAGACAGAGCATGTAGGATTCTGAGTCAGTTAAACAGTAAATGGCATAGGAATTTGCACCTGTATGCATGAGAATTTTTATGAGAGGTTTGTGGTATGTGTTTTTATCTGTAACTGTAGTGAGAAAGTGCTGAATTAGATAAAATTGCTAGAAATTAAGGGACTTAATTTGCTATTGAAAAAACTAAAACATTTCTTCATGTACGTACATTTGTTTAAAGGAAGATATTTCTCCCTTAGCTCTGAAAAATGTAACATCTAGAGGTTTTGAATTTAATGTTTCATTTTCGTTATGATGCACAGCTGGCTAACTTGCAAGTACTGAATGCTACTGAGAGGGGAAAAAACTGGTCTTCATTATATTAAAAACTTATCTATGCATTGCTGAAGGGCTAACTTGTGATGGGAAATCGACCTTATTATGAAGTCTTTTAAAATTAATACTGTGTTTGTTACAGACCAAGGATCGGGATTTTGTGTGACTGGTAAAATAGAAGCAGGCTATATTCAAGTTGGAGAACGACTTCTGGCAATGCCTCCCAATGAAACTTGCACTGCAAAAGGTACAGTCTTCAGAAGTGTGTTTACTTTCAGGTCAATACTGGGCTAGAAGCAGTTACTGAAATGGTAACAGACTGTCAAACTGATACTAACTGTCAAACATAACATGTGAAAGCATAAAACGAATTTCTTTAGATGTGACTGTGTCCGTATAAATACGTCTATGAAGAGCATGTGAAATCTTGCATGAGGGTTTTTTTTATACCTTTTTGTACCTTACCAGATACTCCAAATGTTACAGCCTTATTATTTTTGACATTGCTTTATAAAAAACTTGTAAAAACATCTGAGTTCCAGCAATGTCTATAAGAATATGCAGTACAGGAATCATTAATATTCAGCTTTTCTGTGGAGTGTTACTGCTGTTAGGAAGTGTGAGGATGTTGAACAACATTCAGAAATTAATCTTAGGAATTAGATGTGAAAAAGCTTGAGAATTAAGTCTCAGCTGTTTGATGTTCATGAGATTTGCCACCGATCCTTTCGTTATATACCAACTTTCAGGATATAATTGTCCTGAGCAACTACAGGAGAGAAGAAAATTGGATTTAAATTTCAATACATTTGATTTTTGAAAAGAGGAATATCTAAGTCAAGACATTAAATGTTTATCTGTTTCCTGATTAAGCTTGCTATCTTTGTACTGCAGTTATTTTTTAATATTCAAACAGAAAGATAAAATTACGGTTTTCCTACATTGACCAATGAATAAAAATTAAGCCCTCAAAATAAATGAATACATTTCTGTGGCTAACTGTTTAGCCTGAATTCAACAGTGTACTGGTTTGACTGTCCTGTTCTGTTCCAGAACCAGCTCATTCAGTACTAGTTTGGGAAGCTCTTCAATGTGCCTGTTTATATGGCTGTATGCACATTGTTTGCATGCCTAGGCGTGTTACAGTAATGTGGATGAATGTGGGTATCAGACCACTGTATGGGTATCACTCCTCTGTTTTGGGAGCAGAGGAAGTAGCATGAAAGAAGATGTTTTGTCTGAGTATCCCCAGTGTTACAGTTCTATGTACTGCTTCTCATATGGCGGAAATGCAGGTGAAGGTTGGGTGTATTAGTTCATTAAGTATATATTATTTATATTTAATGTTAAGAAGATATAAGTTAATTTATCATAGTAGTGTGCACATTAGGATTTAAGTTTTTTTTATTTCAAGAGGCTGAGGTTCACTTACTCTGTGAGAATGACACGTATATGTGAAATAATTATCAACACTACTTAAAAAAGTGACTAAAATACATCAAAGTTAGAATTAAATTACTTTTAAAGATACTTTCTAATAGACACAATGTCGTGAACGAAAGGCATCAGTTACGCTTTTTTTATGAAAGAGTCAGCAAATCCACTTAAGGTAAATGAAAGTTGACATAGTAGCGTTAAAGTATATGAAAGATGCGGTCTAGGGTGTGTGTATGCCTCAAAGGATGGGTGGGGCAGATACGGAGATATTTGTACTACGGCATTTTCAGGACTGCGTCATCTGCACTGTGTGACAAGTGCCAGGTCCCCTCCGCTGGCTTAAATAAAGCCATGTTATTGTGCAGGGTGGGGTGAAAGAATAGTGAGTCCTCACCAAGGGGGGTGAAAAATGCTTCCTCAGTCTTCTCAGTTAAAAAGCTTTTACTCTCAACCCATTCATACTGAAAATTGATGAGTAATGGTTGATGAAGCACAAATGGCCCAAACAGAGCTGTTTGTTTGTAACTCAGAACCTAGGTACTTCACTGTGAGGTTCTGTTCTTACTCATTTCCAGGAATCACACTGCACGATGAACCAGTTGATTGGGCTGCAGCAGGAGATCACATTAGTCTCACTTTGACCGGCATGGATATCATCAAAATCAAGTGAGCAGAACTGGGTTTCAGTCTAAGTAACGGTTTGTTTTTAATGAAAAGCTTTATAACTATTACACTTAACAATCAGCGGTTTACTTGAAGAATGATGTGGCTACCAGGATATTTAAAACCGAAGTGATGCCTATCACCTGGCTTGCACGTACAGACGTTGGAAACATCTGCCACATGTGCAACAGCAGCCTCAGAAGAAGACTGTTAGTTTTCATACTTTGCCCTAGTGCTGACACTGGTATCCTTCAAAACCTTTTTCCTTAAGAGATCACCCTTGGATGTTTTAATTGCTGAATTAAGTAAATCCTTATTGCTAAATAAAACAAAACATTTTTGAAGAGCTTATCAAATCATAAATCATGTTAACAAAACACATCCAAACAACTGCCCTTGCTTACCAGTAAGTAAATCTGGATGAGTGGAATTGATGGAAGCTGTTTGTTCAACACATTTAGCTGCTTGTAACATTTGTTTTGGTAAATGTTTTGCTGACTCTTTTTTTGGGAGGGGTCTGATACATTCAGTGAGACATAGGAAATCTGTGTCTCTTTCAGTCTATAGGTTTCAAGCTAAGTGTTAGCCTCAAGCTTTTTGGTGTCAGTTGTTGTTCAGGCTACGAAATTGGATCCATAATTGGTTCCATTTTCTTACATTCCAGTTGGACTTGAGACAGCAAACTTTCAAACTAGTGTTTGAAAAACTCCTTGCATTGATAGTTTCGCAAATTTATGCTCTAGTTTTAAGGGAAAAGTGCAGACTTTTCTGTACTGCCAGTTCATAGTGGGGTGTGATTCTCTGTGGTAAATGGTGGGGGGGTGGGGGAAAAGGCTTGTTCTACTTGTTGAATGAAGGCTTGAGTCAATTCGTTACCCTGATGTCATTCATCTTCTGGAGATATATTAGATTTGTCAAGAAAACGTATCAAGTTTAAAGTCCTCTTGATATTGATGAAATTTGATTACATCTCATGTATACATTTAATCATGCTGTTTATCCTCCTCAGTCACGGTTTTCTGGGTGAGGTTAATTTTCTTTTCATTTTAGATGGCTAAAACTAGCCCACTGTGAAAAAGATGTGTCTAGTCTGCCTTATTGACTTGTAATGAGCAACAGCTTTCTTTTAACTCAATGTGGAGATTTTTGGGAATGAGTGCTGCTGAGAGCTTACGTTTTGAGAGTCCTGATCATGATATTCCTTTATCCACAAAGATAATTGAGTTACAGGCAGCAGAACTGCAATTTTGGGCACCTTGCAGTATTTCGTGCTATTCATCTGGAACAATTAATCTCTGAATGAAAGTCTAATTCTTAAAGTACCTACGCACAGGAAACAGTGACATTTTTAGAAACTGATTAGCAATGGACGTAATTGTTCAGTGAACTAGACAGAGCTCTTCATGCATACCTGCAAAACACCATAGACATTGTCTAGGAATTAATTTCATTACAAGCTTTAATACACTGTTCCTGATTTTTTTTTTTTGGTTCTCTCCTCCCTGGATTATATCGAAGTGATGTTGTCTTTGCTTTGCTTGCCTTAAATATTTATATTTTTTTCAGTGCAGTGATTAACATTTGTATGTCCAGATACATATCAGTTTCTTTTGTTCACCTCTCTTGTAGCGTTGGCTGTGTATTTTGTGATCCCAAGGAACCTATTAAAGTTTGCACTCGTTTCAGAGCTCGGGTTCTCATCTTCAATATTGAGGTTCCAATCACTAAAGGATTTCCTGTAAGTCTCTCTGAAAGTTCCTGTGTTCATTACAGGTCGCTCAAGGTTTTTCCTCGCAATGTTTGACCCCCTGAGTATGAGAGGCTTTTAGCGTCCAGAAGTGCTTCTGTGTACGGATTCCTCTGTAATTTGAAGAGGATGCAAGGGGCTATGGTGGCTGCTTACGCATATTCTCACTGGCTTGTAGGCCATTTCAGAGAACATGATTTCCACCAGTTAGGCTAGGCTGTCCTTTAGAAAGCTCACGCCTTGTAAGATACCTTTAAAAATAAATAAAATATTAGTTCATGCTACAGAACTGCACTGAAGTGGCAAAAGCAAAATGCTTAAGAATTAAAAATATATTTATGGTGAACTAGTACATGAACTTTGTGTCATATCTGTAGATATCACAAACTTTAGGAACTAAAAGGAGTTACTGAGTGTGAGAGAAGTTTTATAAGCATTTGCTTAAAAAATCGGTCTTTAAGGAAGTTGATGTATTCAGGTATTAACACCTATGACTTCTGGTTATTGTTGAATGTTTAATAATGGAAAAAAATATTTTTAGGTGCTTTTACACTATCAAACCATAAGTGAACCTGCTACTATTAAAAGACTGTTGAGTGTCCTGCACAAAAGCACTGGCGAAGTGACAAAGAAAAAACCTAAGTAAGTGTTTTTAATATTTAATAATTACTCAAGAAATGGGCTGACTTTTGATTAATATATGGTATATCAAGCAGGTTCTATTATGAAGCAATAATGTGTTTACAAGAATATGCTTTCATTGTTTTAGCTGGTTTCATGTTTAGATTTCAGAGTGCTTTACAAAGTGCAAAACCTCCTGCTGACTTGATAAATGCTGAGTACCTGAGAAGAAAAATGACTTGCCTAAGGTCACTTGCCGAATTGGGAGTGAATCCTAGATCACCAGCCCTACGCTTAAAGGATTTTTAAAAATTTTTTACATTTTCTTCTTCCTGTAATAGCATACGATCCTTGGTATAATTCTGGAGATGGGTTTCTGTCTAAAATAAACTTGACAGTGGGTCAGAGAAAAAGAGATTTAGGGAGTGTTCCCATACAACTTAAAGTATAGTAACATCCCTTCAGTTATTTAAAGCTGCATCTGGATAGAAATGCTATTTGATACATACAACATTGTCAGAATAATCCTTTTCCAGAAATTGCATACCTGAAAGTGTTGCTGAAAGGTAATGGGAAGAAAAGTCATGACTTCTACAGAGCAGTGAACTGGCTCTTTAGTTGTTGGGTTTGAAACAAGCCTTGATTTCTACTAGACGTGAAAAAGCAGGTATTAATGAAATAATTAACTTAAAAGCAAATTTACTGAATGTAGTGGTGAATGCCCTTCCCTAGAAGTTTTTAAAGACTCGGATGCCTTTTTAAAAGGTATGCTCAGATGAATGAGTTTTCAGTCTGGTGGCTTGGGTTATACTTGAAATCAAGCTTGGTCGTTACACTTTTGGCTCTTTAAGTTGATTTTTTCCATTTATTCACTGTTGTCTTTTTCATTTATGCATGTGTAATATATATATAGAGTTTTCTGCTTATTTACCTACAGGTTCTTGACTAAAGGACAGAATGCTCTAATAGAACTACAGACTCAAAGGCCTGTTGCTCTAGAGTTGTATAAAGATTTCAAGGAGCTTGGGAGGTTTATGTTACGCTACAGTGGTTCCACTATTGCTGCAGGAGTTGTCACAGAGGTATGGCATTTTTGTAATGGATTTTCTGTACTGTAAAGTAACAGTGTTGACTTTCACACAGCATTTAGTTTTTATGGTTAAGAGCTGTTTTACACCTTTTGTCCTAAAAAGTGAATTGATTCTGCTGAAAAAGACACAGGTCTTCGGCAAGATGTGAGGAAAACTTGTCACAATTCTGTTCAATTTATTAGGAGCAAAAATTACTCTAGAATTTTTGAATGTTATGCATTTTTCCTCCTCTCTTGAGTGACATACATCGGTCTTTCTGAAATTTAATTACCTGTATAAATATACTGGAAGTAGTTTGTAAATAAGAAGTTTTGACCATTTTTACCGTGGCTAGTTTGGGTCCCAGATTCTTTTCTGTTGGCATTAAAGACAGTTGTACGTTTGATTCTTACCAGTGCCTGTAGACATTTTCTGATCCTGTGTAAGTGAAAGGAAGCAAAGGCTGTGGGACTAAGTAGACATGTTTTGCCTTCTATTAAGGAGCAAAAATAGGACTGTCCCTCTCTCTGTCACTTTGAAAAAATCTTGCTATAATTTTTGGATTAGAATTTAAATTCTAACTCTAGGCCTGAGGGCGAGGAATTTAATCACACTAACCAAGTTCTGGTACTGAGACTTAAAGCTGAGTCATTTAATGTCAGAACTTGGAACTAGGGCATGAGAATTTCTGACTTTTTTTCCTGTGTGCGTAGGAATGATGCGCTAGGTCTGTCAGAGGCTCTGGGCCTTATGAAGCTTTAACTTTCTTAACAATCTGTCTGGTCTTGAATAGGATCCAGAAATAGGGCTTTAATCTTGCACCCATTTTTCATTAAATTTAACTTGAAGTGAATGGGGTCCTGTTTAGGTGCGTGATGCCCAATGTGTTTAGAATTCAGGACTAGATAACTCTTTGATTGTTATTTGGGAATTGCTATTTCAGTACGTGTGATCTTGTTCCAGAGAATTTCAGAGCAGAGGGAATTATTTTTTCCAGAGCTAACTATAACGTGTTGAAAAAAGCTGTGATCATTTTGCATTTAGTACTTCATTTTTCACCATAGGTTTTTTTCCATTTGCTTACATTTTTAGATTAAAGAATGACCACCACAGAAAGTGGTGCCAGAACTTCCAACGTCCAACCAAAATGCAAAAGATATCCAAACTTCGGTTTAAGAATCCAGTTACTTCAGTTGAAGGAACAAGTGCAATTAACTGAGGAGAAGATGGATGATGACAAAAGCTAAATCGTGTGAGACACCTGCGGAGCCCTTCATCAGTCTCTCCCACTGCAGAACAAGATGCCAACTGACAAGGAACTGCAATTGTTGCACTACTCCATCTCAAGAATCTTATGTGTTTCTCCGTGTGGAATTTAGCCCTTAGAGCTTCATGGAAAAAATCTTAGAAAGTTGAATTAGAGAAAAAGGCAATGAATCATCATGAAACAAACTTATTACTTCCAGACATAAATTGTTTACATATTTTCTTTGATTTGCTTTTTTTGCTGCACATTATTTCAGTTAAGTAACTTTATTGGCCTAATATATTTTAGGGTCAGGTTGAATGCACGTTCAGTGAAAAAAAACCACACAACTATTTACTTTGGTTTCAAGAGAGTGGCATGTGGTGTTAGCCCAGGATTTTTTTTCCCTGTCCCAAAACTTATTTAAAAGAAGAAGTTTGCTCTTGTGTAGTGAAAGCTGTGCCAAGATTGGCTAATTTTATTTTTTAAACTGTAAGAATAATAAAATAGCTTTGTTGGAGCATAATTTTTGTCACCTTCATCTTTTGTTATTTAAACACTTCTATATTGTGTTAAATGGTTTTTTACTTTCCATATCGCAGACGTTTCAGTGTAAACTTATGAGTTAAAATGCGAAACTGACATGCGACTTGTCTTTCTGTGGAAAGAATTTCAGTTTTTCTCATGTGCAGCTACTGTGAACACACATCTCTTTCATCCAAACTTAGTGGTCTTCTGAACAAAAGCTGGCAGTTTAATCTTCCAGTGTCTGCTAAAGCCAGGTTGTTGTGCTTACTCAAGCTGGTAACTCCTTCCCGCTTTTCAGTAATGGGCAGGCGAAATCTCACAGCTGAAAAGAGGGTCCTCCTGCCACCACCAGTGTAAGCTCAGGGCAGACACACTTTACTACAACTTGGAAGGTTTTTTTTCCATAGGAAGTGTGAGAGGACCTCAGGTATTTCAGCACCTGTACATGAGTGTGTGGTGGAGACAACTCCACTTTGACCATAGTTAGTACAGTGGGGAAGGAACTAAAGTACTAACTCCAGTGCATCGGTCACTGGGGTTAACCAAGGTAAGGTTGTGCCCTAGGTAGTGAAAAGCAGAAAAAAGGTGGCTGTTATTTAGTTCAGAGTTATGTACGGTCCATACTTATTCTTCCCACGTGGTTTTTTTGGTGGATAGCTTTTTTTGCACTTACATGCTTTAGCTACAGTTCAGGAGATACCTGCACTTGACCACATAGATAAATTGTACTGCTGACTGCATGCACGTTTGTAAAAGTGTCAGCAGTGCTTTATGTGGAAATTACTTTTGTAAAGTCTTATGAATCTGAAATATCTGAAAACAGTTATTGCCAAAACTGAAGCTTATGAATTATCACTATTTGTTATGTCTTTTTATAGTCCAGAAATTGCATTTAGATACTTACCAGTTTCAACATGTCAGCCATGAAGGTTGCAGTGCACTTGGACTCCAGGGATTCGTATTGCCAAGCTCCTGCACTGAATCTGTTCCACTTGAACTTCCCTTCAACTCTTGAAAATGTTTAGGTAGCTTTTAAGTCAGGGGACAGCTGAAGGGCTACGGGCAGAAGAATGTGTCTTCAGTTTTAAGACTTCAGTAAATTCCTTGCTGTTTGTGGACAAGGAAGTGTGATATGGGATGAACTTCTGATAATGCTTCTCATTCATGATTAGGTTAAATTTTGAGACTCCGTACTCTGTGATGACAGAAGAGCGACTGCGTGCTTTACCGATTTGTAGCTTGGGAGAGCCAGAGGCATTACCTAATCCAGTTTCAGCATGACTGCACTACCTTTCAGCACTGATTTGAACTCTGCCCAGAGATGCCAGTTGGTTGATGCAGAAAGGATCTGTAGTTGTGTAACAAAAATCTATCACCTTTGTTCGATCAAAATGTTTGCGTGTTGATCCACAAGAAATCTGATGGCTTGGCAGTGGTCTAGGGTGCAAAAACTTCCTAAACTGTTGATTGAGATATTCACAGTCTCCTGGCGATAACATATTGCTCTTCAATCTGGATGTAGAGTTTTGAATATCTCTGGAGTGCAAGGAGGTGGCATGCAATATTTAGCACAGTTTGATAGTCTAAACATTTTCTCTTAGAGAAATTGTCTCTTATACAGCTTTTTCCAGGCAGTTTGGGTTCTTGGGAAGTTAAAGAGAAACCTGATGATATGTAACAGACTTCTCTATAGTAAGGTATAATTAAGTAATATCTATGGAAGGGAAAGCATAAAAGCTGGTGTCTTGCTTCGCTTTTAAGAATTGAATTTGTGATGACAGACAACAGAGTGTACCAGGTAGGATTGTGCTTCTCAGCTGTTTTGAACTGAAGGTTCACTCAGCTGCTTGTATTTTTTGATGTCTGGGGATACTTATGGAAAAAAGAGAGCTTCTTTTGTTAAAAATATTTTGCTTTGGTGGGAGTGTTAGTTTTGAGGTTACAAGGAAAAGTACTGATGAACATGAGCTGCAGACATGCAAGTCTAAGTATCTTTTCTCTGTGTCTACTGACGGTAAGGAGCAGGTGCCTGGCTTGGTGTTTGGGTCTTTAATTATTTTGCGTAGTTGTTGGAAAATATCCTCAGACTGTAGCTTGAAAAACTGGTGTAAGGAGAAATTTCCCTATTAAACCTTTCTTTTCCTCCCCTTCTTCAGTACTTTATTTCCTATAGATGCAGAGGAGCTGTTTTCTAACAACTGAGCTGATCCTGCCTCCCTGCTGCAACTCCTAGAAAAGACCCAAGTGTCACAGAAATAGTAATTTTTTCCCCCCTTTCTGCTGTTGTTGCCAGGGTTCGTTCCCACTCGTGAGTGAGCGGTGCAGGGAAGACGGAGAGAGAGGGGGAGGAGTTCAGACTCACTGTGCAAATACATACAGACCTACTAATCTAAATTGATGCTTCGTAGGAAAAAAATCACAGATAAAGCAAGCAGCTAACGATGGCTCACTCAAAGGCTCTCTTAGTGCTGGAAAACTTTATAGATGGCAAATTTGTTCCTTGTGCCTCCTATATAGATTCCTATAATCCATCCACTGGAGATGTCTATTGCAAGGTGCCAGACAGTGGCAAAGAAGAGGTGAGTGCTATCCAAATGTACAAAGAAGTGAAAACGTTAAGTGCATATAGCATTAATATTTTGAGAGGGGGAGGCTGAAGGTGAGATAACAGAAAAACGCTGAAGACTTTAATGTTTAAATGAGTAAGTTCTTGATCATATTGCAATGCTGTGTAGTCTATTGCTGTGGCAGCGAACACTCTTATTTTTTAGGTTTTGCTGCTAGAAAGTTACAGGGTGGGTCCTAGGCTGGTATAGATAACAAAGCTGCTGTAACTTTCAGCTCATGTAAGAGATGTTTTGTATGTAAGTTAACAGTAATGCTCAAACTGTCAGTGAGTATAAACCATCTGGAACAGAGAAAAAAGGGTTTCTCTTCTGTGGATAAACTTAGAAGCACTGTATACAACTAAACATGTTCTTCCTGAGCATCTTGATGATTTGCAGTTGTCATTTAAAAGGAACTTTTGCTTGCTGGCTCTTCCCTGAAATATGGTAAAAGGCATCCAGACCTCTCTGGTTTTGCTATTAGAAGTCGGATATTGGGTGGAGGTGATGAAGTGGCTGCGAGTATTGTACATTTCCATATAACGCAGTCTGTCCTCTGCGTGAATGTAATGTTTCCTAGTCCTGTGCTCTCTAGTGGGATGAAAGTCTCCTTGTACCTTGTATGTGTTCAGCTGTGGATGGGCAATGTGACGTGCATCTGGGGAGCCCCAGTTTAACTGGTGCTACTTTATAAGGGACCTACAATTGTATGTACAACATAGTGTTCCAGATTTATCAAAGAGAGAAATGACTGGAAAAGCTTGGATAACACAAAGGGCTTGGGAAATATAGACAAGTAGTGGATTGTATTTTCAGAAAGTTTTTTAAAACTGCCACTGTGTGTAGCTATTCCCTTCACTTGCATTTCAGTCCTGTTGACATCTTTTTGCTTTCTCAGCAGAAACCTTTGCACTGTAATTTCAACTTGGTAAATATTTGCTAGATGCTGATGACCAAGGGTTAAAGAGTAACAGGTTGGGTTTGCTAGAATACATCTGTTCATGCCAACCCTAATTATGCCTGAAAAGACTTCTCTTTGATGTGCAGGTGCAAATCTTCCTGTTCATTCATTTGCAAAATCATTAAAACCAGAGAGATGTGAGAATGCCAGAGGAGCCTAACAAAAATAGGCTGCTAGCCCTTCTGCAGCTATAGTTCAAATATATGTTAAGAGCAATGGCTTTTCTCTCTCAGCTTTCTGAGTTAAGAGGCTGTGCATAGCAGTGGGAGCCTGGTTAAGACACTTGTAAAGTCAGCAAGTGCTTTACTCCTGCCTTTAGACAACTAACTGTACAAGAAGGTTGGGCTCTGCAGAGCTGGCGTCTGCTGGTGACTGATGGAATAGGCTGCAGGATACTAAGTGCAATCACAGACTACTTGGAGGGTATTTGAAGGCTTCAAAATAAGCATCTAGGCCCAGGTTCGACAAAGAACTCAGGATGATGGTTTCTAGCAAGGCTCAATGTCTTCTTGTGTTTTTTTTGTTTCCTCTTGGTTAATTTTAATAGAGGGTTACAAGGCAGAAAGGAGACATACAGGAAGTCTGTTCCTGACCCTGGAATTTAACACTAGGTCTGTTGAAGAGGCCATTTCAGCCAGTTTCTGCCAAAAACATCAAATGTTTTTTTCAGGGGTTAATAGCTAGAAATCTTTAAATAGCAGCACCAAAGCAGGGTGAACAGGTGCCCTGTACCTCCAAAAGACAGACTGGTGAGGTCAAATTAGTCCTGTCAAATTTATCCTTAAAAAACATTCTCTAAAGAACCTTGATTCACTGTGAGAGCAAAGATCAAGTCCTGAGGGCAGTTTGGGGTATTTTGGTATCGACCTTTTATGATAGCTCTGGATTGTGTGTTCTTTCTCTGTCTCTGTCTTGTGCAGTAGAGGGAAGCAGAAGGAAGTGTTTCAGACACGAGTTCATAGTTGAATTCTTACGTGTGTTTTCTTTATGGCTCAAATTTCTTGGCTGCTTTTTGCTACTCAAACTAAGTAACTGTTTAAACTTTGTATGCTCTTACTTCTCCCTGTACAAATCTCTCTGCTTTTTTCCACCTTGCTTCCTTAGATCAATGTACTGCCACTTCATTTCTTCCTTTGCTGATTTTCTTTCCCGCTGTCTGTGAAAATGCAACATCTTCCTTACTCTAAAATCACTGGAGGGTTAAAAATGCAGATACCAGCCTTAACTGCGCACCAGCCCTCTCTTGATGCAGGTAGCACCTGGTGGAAAAACTCACAGAGGAGAGGGCAGATGAGAAGCAGCACCACAATGGCACCTAATGACGGGAGGGTGGAAGAACAAGTTCATTAGTGAGGCTGGTTTCACAGAGGATGAGCCTTTTCAGGGTAGAGTGCCACCCA